CCTTTCTTTGGGATAGGAACAAATATCGATCTCTTCCAGTCAGTTGGCCAAGTGGTCGTTCTCCAGATACATGTAATGTGAGAGTGTGAAGGCCATGTCTGACTTTATGGAAATTAGTTTTGTACTGTGGATGTTGTTGATAGGAATTAGTCCCCTTCGTGAAGTTAATAGAGGTCAGCCATCTCCATGTCACTCTCATGCTTTTTATGGTCTTTAAAAGAATATGAAAGATATAAAAGACAAAAGAGATGTCAGAACAGACTCTGAATCTATTGTAAGAGACCTCTCCACAGTGCTGAAGATCAAGGACAGCAGCTTAGAGACCAAGGCGCATGTGATCCAAGTCATGTTTTCAATTGCTCACTACGCATCTGTAAGTTGGACGATGACAGAAGAATCGATACCTTTGAGTTGCTCTGTTGGAGGAGTACCGAATATCCTGAAAGGAGTGCAACCAGAGTCCTTAGAAGCAAGGATGTTGAAGCTCGAAAAAGCGTAGGATATACGTAGGAGAGGAAGGGTTTCAAGGAGATGGACCGACACAGTGACTCTTCTAACAATGGGCTCAAGTATATCGGAGATGGTGAGGATGGTAGAAGACAGGGCGAGGTTCAGGAATGTTTCATAGGTTGTTATGAGTTGCAGTCGACTCAGGGCACATAACGACACAACCACTACCATACTTCAAGAGCACTAGGTGGCACTAGGAAATCTTTCCAAAATTCCAACGCCACAGCAGATCGGGTCGATTTAATTTCAAATAGCATTTATGAAGGCAAAAAAAAGTCAAACCGATTTCCCAAGCCGCTTTTAGCACGGCCTAGCACTAACAACCGGCAATCGGTTTTCCGTGAAATCTCGCGAAGATTTCATCATCCACTCTTCCTTCCAAGCCCCGTGGCCAGGGCGGGAACATTCAGGAAGTGACGACGCTCGATGGGTTACGCCGGCTGCCGGAAGTGACGTCACCATCCCAGAAGGCCCCGGGAGGACCTGGTTCATGTGGTCTACCTTGCGGGGTAGTATGGCGCGCATCGGCTGCGTGGTCTGAGTGTCTGCGTGGTGGTGGTGGTGTGCACACTTGTGCTTTTCCAGCTACACGTTTGTGACTACAAATTAGTAGTTTTTCTGCTGGTGCCCGGCCGCGCGGCCCCCTAACCGGCGTCATCATGTTGGTTCTGTTTGAAACTTCTGTTGGCTACGCCATCTTTAAGGTAAGTGAGAATGGGGAGGAACGAGGGAGACGGCCGATGTTGGGCAGGTGGGATTGGGAGAAAAACCGAGGAGAGGAGAGAAGAGAGGAGAAAGCTGCTCAAAATTGCGTGAGTGCCTCTGGGTGGCCAGACTCTGAAAGGAAAGGAAAAGCTTCCAGCTTGGATGGCTCATGTTTGAGTGAACACGTGGTCCCCCCGCGTTTGGGCTCCACCGTCGGCTTTACAAGTTTAGGCGCCTTGGAAAAGAGGACAGGAGTGGTCTTATCCGACCTTTTCTTTTTCTAGAAAGTTTGCATTTTGTCCTGAAAGTTATTATATATCAGTGGAAGATTTTAAGCGAAAAGATGACTGACTTTGCCTTCGTGTGGTGACTAGATTGTAAGGAAGTTTTTGGATTAGTCTAGACAAGATTAATTGAGTGGATTAGGGTTGATTGGGGAGAAGCAGATAATGTTGGGAGAAATTTAGGAGATAAACCACAAGATTTTGCTGATTTGAGTCGGGCTCTATGTGAATAAGTGATGCTGTTTACAAAAATGGGTACGATTGGAAGAGAAAGTTAACGAGTTTGTGGGAATTCGGGGACACTAAAGGAACTGTTTGGCGATCCTTCTTACTCGGATAGGAAAAGTAGTTTTCACGTAAATCGAGAAATTCTGAATTTCAAATTTGACGTATTGGGAGAACTCTGGACTAATGACAAAAATGTAACTTGTAATAGAGGAAGTTTGGATAATTGACTTATTTATTAGGCCTGATTAACTGTTGGGTAGTGGAATAAATTTTAAGAATGAGGCATTTTCCTTGGCCCTAGGAAAATAACATCAAATAAAGCATTTGTGTGCTAGATTTATATATGCTGATACAAAGCAATAAAAAACGTAAACACATTAAAAGGAAATTATAAAAAAGAATAAGTAAAGGAAATTATATTTGTGTCTGTGAAATTTTATTAGCTTTCTTTCCCATATTCTTTATGACTTTAAATGATAGAAATACATGATGAAAGTGTTTTAACATGTTTCCCAAACTGTTTTCTTCAAACCTTCTGATTTTTATTCACAGTAAGGATGACATTTTATAACATCACTCAGTATGTACATACATATATTACATACAGTGATTAAAGAGAATAAAGTATTTTAAAAAATTATTTTGGCAAAGCTACACACACTTTGAGGCAAAATTAGTAATATATATAAGCATTATCGTGATGTTTATAGATTATAAATGCGTAAAATATGTGAGATGAAGCTTTACTGTCCTAGTCTCCAAAGAGCACCTTGGCTGCACCTTCTTGAGGACATAATTATTCTTTTGGCAGACCATGGATAGTCCGTACTCTTCCACACCATTTTGTCATGCCTAGTCAGTCATTGTCCAACATTAGGAAGCATACCAAGTAATAAAAAAGATGAGTTATCCTAATAATAAAGTGCTGTGCCACCAGGGCTCCTTGTAAAGGCGTTGTTAGGTGCCATTGAGTGAGTAGAACTCATAGCCACTCTGTGAGCTGAATCCTGTGCTATCCTAATAATTTTTCTTATAATTGAGCCCATTGCTATGGTTGCGGTGTCTATTTCATTGAGAATCTTCCTCTCTTTTGCTGATCTTCACTAGCTAGGTGTCCTTTTCCAAGGAATACCTCCTTCTAGCAACATGCCCATAGTATATGAGATGAAGCTTCATCATCCTTGCCTCCAAGGAGCAATCTGGCTGTGCCTTCTCCAGGACATAGCTGATTATTCTCTTGGCAGTTCATGGAGTGTTCAGTTCTCTTCTCCAACACCACAACTCAAAGGAATCCATGATTCTTGCGACATCTTTACTCAGTGTCTGGCTGGCTCTCAGTTGTGTAGCACGTGATTGAAAAAACCATGGCCTGCATCAGGCACACTTTTGGAGAGGACCCTGACAGCAGACTTTCTCAATGCAATGTATTTTGATTCCTTGGCTGCTGGTTCTGTGGGTGTTGATTTGTGGATACAAGTAAGAGGAAATTGTTGACAATTTCCGTTTTTTCTCCTATTACGGTGTTGCCTGTTGGCCCAGTGGTGATGATGTTTGTCTCTTTGATGTTGAGATGTAATTCTTATTGAACTTCTGAAGCAAGCACTTCAGGTCCTTACTTCTAG